TTGGGAATTTAACTTCTAGATTCCCATATCAACAAACTGATAGTTATAATAGATGATAAAAAACTTTTTGACAAATTAATTCTTGTAATATAGGGTTAGACTACCTTTTCAAAATCCCCTTAGAAGCATAAGTGCATCAAATGCAGATAGTGATTTTAATGACTGAAAGTTGATGCACTTGATGGAGCATGAATATGTTAGAACTGAGAATAAGGTTGTAACCCAAACAAGTGGTGCTTTACTTTTTTTGCAAACTCATTCATCACTAGCATGATCTGGCGTGAAACTTAACCTTCTTATTCTTGCTTCAGGGTTTAAAGAATCTCTTAGACCAGGAGACGCTTAAACTCTGGGATCAATTGTATGAGACAACTGATGCATATACTGATAGTTGGCTTTCCTCAGGTAGTTTTGACTCTCTGACAATTTAGTGATTTTAATGGTGTCCTATGACTTGTTTTATTTATATCCCTCATCTTTGAAATACTGTAGCACGGGCATTTCTGAAGGAATGTTTGGGTGAAAATAAGGATGCAGATTCCTCTGTTGCGCTTCCTGAGACCAGTGCTAACTCAACCAATATGACACACCGGCATCTTAATGTTTTAGTGACATCTGGATCGTTGATACCCACCCTTGTAAAATGCATGCTCTTCCGTATTGACAACCTGATAACTCATGAAAATAGTGAGTCCGATTTTCTTTTGTTTAATTTCCATGTTGCAGAATAGACTCCTCATTCCTAATATGATTACAATTCGTAATGACATACCATTGCATTGCAGTTTATAGCTCATGGGACGTGGGGAAAGTTCAGTGCTTCCGATGGATAAAGGAGCGTTTTGACCTTCCCAATGTACGTTTTTGTGTGATTGGAGATGGATGGGAAGAGTGTGAAGCGGCAAAAATCATGAAATGGCCGTTTGTCAAGATTGACCCACGGCCAGGCACACCATACAGATTTCCTGGGCTCACATTGAGAACAGTGAGCCACTACTTTTCTGTGGTGTATGGAAGTCTGAATGATGAGAACGATGAAGAATAGTGTTCATGATGTTGTCATCCCCCTTTCTAGGATTCCAAATCTGTACAAAATTCCAGGCCTTCAAGTTTCAGCACATGCGTGGATCACGGCTTAGATGGTCGTCACAGCTTAGTACAGCTTATGCTGCTAGTTGATGTTGAATAGGGTAAGGGGAACTACTTTTCTCTGACAATTGTTAGATAGTAAGTTGTAGATATGAATTTAAGCTGTGGATCGTCTGTCACTCTTAATAATGCATATAGGATTGTACATTGTAAAGGCCCTCGTTTGTCCTTCTCCGTTATTGCTGGGTTGGCGCATATTTGGAGGGCCAGAAGAAGACACCTCCCCTGCGGCCTTTTGCCACACTATCTTCCAAAGCGAGATTTGGAAGATTGGAAATAGAATAGTTTTCAGGCGACGCAAATCAATCACATAACTTGAATAAATTAGAACCGTTGATCGAATGTCAATGTTCCAGGGAATTTTCTCCTGATAATTTGATGATTTCAATATTTATGCACTTATTTGTTCTGGTCTCGGAAAGTTGATTCACTCCCCTGGCGACTGCAACCATTTTTTTTTGGCCCAAGATCCATCTAGGATGTGAACTTAACTCCTAAAATCGGAGAAGCTTTGTATAAAAAAAAAACAAAAAAGTTCGGAGAAGCTCTCACACTATTATTCTTTTAGGGATATTGTGCTTAAATATTTTAAACATATACACGAATGAGCATTCAGTATTTGAGATTTTTTTTTGTTCTTACATGTCTTGAAAGTTTTATTTAGTACTCCTCCGGTCCTTAATATAGGACCCAATTGTTGAGTTGGTATTGGTCCTAAATATAAGACCCATTTCTCATATTTATCAATTTTCTCTAAATTACCCTTATGGATACTCCCTCAACCATAATCAAGTAGAAGAAAGAGAAGGGGTATTAAAAAAGATGATTATGGTGTTTTAGGAAAAATGTGTCACTTTTCTTATAATTAACTAACTTACCTAACTTTCTTAATCTAATCAAATTAGGTAAATGAGTCTTATATTAAGGACCGGAGGAGTAACATTTCTGACATGAATTATTTTTTGTTGTTAAGTTTGACTGTTAAAAATACCAATCAAACTGTGTAATTTAACAGTTAAACTTAATGACGAATGACGTCCAAGGTATTTTTGAAAATAAACTTCCAGTTAAAAAAAAAAAAAACCGGTGTTAGGTTTTTTTTTATGAATACTTTTAAGGTATTTAAATACCTTATATTTTTTTTTATTTACAAGACTCTAATTTTAAATCTTACTTAGGATTAGAGTTCTTTTCATTTAACTTAATTACTTGTACCATTGATGATTTTGGCATATTTAGGAATGATAATGATTTTTTTTTTTGGTCAAGAGTTTCTCTTTTCGAGGCTTTGCGCGTGTAAAGTTTTTTGCCTCTCTCAATAATTGCACGAATGATAATGACTTTTCATTTCAATGTTTTTAAGCAACAAAATTTATAAATTTGTATTAAATTTTAGGAATATGAACTTTGGCATATTATCCTTAACCTCTTGTCATTATCTTTCACTTGGATATAATTTTTTTTGTCGCTTTTATAAATATTTGCTGATTTTTTTTATTTATGCTATCGAATATTATTAATAATCAATTAAATCTGAGTGGTACTAATTATGCCGCAGCAAAACTCTGTTGATTCATTAATTAGTTGTCTGTCTTTTTGACAGCAGATAAATGAGGATTGGCGTAAGCTATACTATGCTATAAATCCACTCACTAACTGTCTTTTGCCAGTTTGAGGCATAGCCGCATAGATGGATTGATTTGATTTAAGGATAAGATTATTCACTCAATATTTCAATATGGATGAGATCGAGGCAAAATCTCCAAATGAACAATTCGTTCATTTGATTAATAATTCAGTCTGTGGGGATTACTTACTAAGGTAAGCTTATCGTTCCAATTTGTCAACAAGAGGGGCAGTTTCATTATCAACTTTGGCCTGTAATGCTGATATTTACTCCGGATCCTGCCAAGGTTGCCCCCCAATCCTTCTCTACCCCCTCTCTTTTATAATACTACTTCCGATTCTAAATATAAGATTTAGTTGACCAATTTGAATAGATTAAGAAAATAATTAAATTCATTATTTATAATAAATACGTGTTATCGTTACTAAAATATCTCACTAATCAAGTTTATTGGCTAGAACTATTATTATTAGAAGAACCATCTTGAAAAAAATTGATAAATATGAGAGACAAAATGGATTGGAGTATTATATTTAGAACTAAAATAAAAGTTAAACGAAGTTTTATATTAAGGACCGGAGATATTACCTAACAAAGATAGTTTTTTTTTTTTGAAATAAATGAGGCATAAAGTAATATGAAATTATGTGCATGATTTAACCTGCAACCTCCTTCTTACAATCTAATAAGGATGAATTTCAATACCATATTCTACCTTTGTTTTAAGGACAAATTTTGGGTTAAGTTGCTCATGTCCATTAAATTAAGTTCACATACGTATTTAACAATAACAAAATAACAAATGTCTATATCAAAATTTACAAATTCTAATTTACATTATAGAAATCGGTATACAAAAATTTATGAGTATTTGCAGGTAACTTTACAAGTACACAGAAGCATTTTAACAATTAGTAATATCACAATAATAAATGTGTTTGGAGCTTGACCTAATGAATATAACCTAACTTGTTCCTCTTTTAAATATGCTTTCTTTATTTTTCTTTTCTTTTCTTTCTTGATTTTCCTTTTGGCCTTCTTTTCCCCCTCCAACGGGGTCCGGAGGCTAGAACGCGGAGAAAATCCTATAAAAGTACACAGCTTTGGTGGTCCCTCTGATCTTGCATGCATTAAGCTTATCTATGGGCCTTGTTTTTAGTTCTTTGTATCATCATAATGTTTCTCCAATTACAAAAATTGCTGGTTCTGTTCTGCCCATACCTCATAAGGACTTTTCTTAGTGGTTTCCTCTCCTTGGATCTTCTCAAATCTTAACTTTCCATTCTTTCACTTTCTTTGTCTTCTTCATTTTTATATTCTTCTCTATTCTACGCCTCAAATCCCCCCCCCCCCTCTCATTATTTTCCCTTAACAATTATACATCCAGATACAGTTTCTTTCTGCAATGATTGTACAAGTAAATTTTGTCTTGGTACATTTGGTAACAGGTTTGTGTGTTGTCATTGCAGAGTTACATATACCCAGGAAGGGAAAAGAGCAAAACTTTTCACGGACATACTCAGAAGCCTAACGTGGCTCTGACTCACCAACTACAGCAATCATCTCATCTTCTTTTGTGCAATTATCACGTTGCTGTTTTAATCCATGAGAAATAATCCTCTCACCTACTAATTACAAATTCCTTGCTGATCAAGGAGAAGAAGTGACTCTTAACTACAACTGGAAAAAACTTGATATTGCAACCTGTTTTTGCAAGGGAATCATGTTCTGGGAGGAATTTTAATAAATAGTTAACAATAATGTGATGCTCTCTAAAAGCGCAAAGACAGAGAAAACATTGGACCACAAAGCTTAAATGCTCACTCAGGCTTGGTTGTGGCTTCAACATCCACAGCACACAGAGTGGTGAGAAGAGTTTTGCAGACGGCCCTGATTGCCCTGTAGAAGCAACGTGGCTCATTCTATACCATCAAACTCCATGACAGAAAAGGAAGCGTAGCTAGTTTGCATCACTCACGTGCGTGCACTGTATTGTTCACCAATGGTGAGGGGGGAGGGAGAGAGAGAGAGGTAGAGGGGGAGAGAGGGGTAGGACCCAGGATTGCTTGGCGGGGCTGATCTTGATATGCCACCAACAGAAACGGTAGTTAACCAGATATATAGTGGGAAAGCAAGCAATGAAAGTTTCTAAAACTTAAAGAATGAAGGTGAAAAAAAATAGGTGGTCTTTTTACAATACAACTTTTCTAGCTCTATTTCTCTCAAATGCTCACTTATATCCTTTCTTTCATTTCCTCCTTCTCCTCCCTCTCTCTTTCTCTCTCCTCAAACTTCTTCCGTAGAAGCAGAGTAGCTAAGGGCACGTGTTTGCCGCACTACCCCCATTATTCAACTAAATTTCATTTCCTGTGGAGAAGGGTGCTCATGCTTTTCTGATTCTGGGCTTCTTGCATGGCTTTCTGAGGAGAACTTTGTGTAATCTGACTCTACTATTCAGTTACACAGGCTGTGCTCTCATTGGCAATTGGCATCAATGGCAAATTGTATTGTCTTTTCATGCCTTTTAACTCCATCGACATTTGTATTACTTTCCTCCCTTATTTTTTGAATCTTTACATTCTCTCCTCTTTTTCCAGGAATTGTGAAATGGGAGAGAGAGTTTTGTTCTCTGCGTAGATATTGGAAGAGAAAGAAATATTATTCTTGAGAGATTATAATGCCAGTTCCACTTGCCCCTTACCCTACACCCCCAGCTCCATATACGCCTCCAGCTAATGGTATCTTTCTTTTTCTGTGCTTGCTTTACTCATTCATGTCGTTCCTCTCTGGTCGCTTGCTAAGAAAGTAGCCTAGAAATCTTAGCACCCAGGAACTTTGTGGTGATGATGGATAGATTGAAGGAGGATTTGAACTTTTATAGCTTATTTCATTTTGGAAATTGCTATGTTCTCTTTTGTTATTAGTAGCCAATGTAGGAAAGAGAGCAAGTAATTAGACAGGACGAATATAAGATTGAAAGGAGTTAAAAAAAAGGCAATTCTGCTTTCCCCCAGGGAACGGAAAATTGGTGAATTAAACATGAAGATGTGTTTGATAAAATTCCTTAGTGACTCTGTTTTGTATCGAATACGTGGATTTGACCTATCCGATAATATGTCTTCATAGTCCAGTTTCTCACTTGGTGTGGAAGCTGCAATTTACTTGCTATAGTATCAATTTTAAAAGGGAAAAAAGATAGTATTTCTGGTCATAGATCATTCATTTGACAATGAAACTTACAAATGATTTGTGAAAATCTGGGTTTGTAAGGAGGTACACAACAGAGTCAGCTTGTGTGTTGTGGGTGTAGAAACCTTCTGCTCTATCCAGTTGGAGCAACATCTGTGTGCTGTGCTGTTTGCAATGCAGTCACTGCAGTGCCACCTCCTGGTATGCTTCTGTTTCCTCTCTTGGTCTATATGTTTTCTAATCAATATGTTATATGAGCTTAATTTTCTGCCTGTGTCACAAAATAAGCTCTTTTGATGAATGATATACATAAAGAGTTGGTTATTGATAAAACACAATAGTATAAGGCAATTCATATAACCGGCCTACCTAGTGAGATAAGACTTATTGTTATCATCATCATCACCATCTACAAAGCATTTTTACATGGTCAGGCACAGAAATGGCCCAGTTGGTTTGTGGAGTCTGCCACACTTTACTCATGTACATACGTGGGGCGACAAGCGTGAAATGCTCCTGCTGTCACACTGTCAATCTGGCTCTGGAAGGTATTCAACTATTTAAGGTTGTACCTCTGTATAAAGGACACTTGGATCCGGACATGTCTTTCTAGTGGGCTATTATATTGTTATGAACTTATGATCTGAATCGCTACTGTGCATTTGTGACAGCAAATCAGGTGGCACATGTCAATTGTGGAAACTGTAGAATGCTACTGATGTACCAATATGGAGCAAGATCTGTTAAATGTGCAGTCTGCAATTTTGTAACATCTGTTGGGGTTAGTGCAGTCTCCTAGTCCTATACTTACAGCTCATTTATCTCATACATTTCCTTCGTTTGCTTTTAACAACTAAAAAAAAAAAAAAACTCTTAGTCAATAGCAATTACTAAATAGATTCTTTTTAGGCGGTTCAAGACTCCATATTAATCAGTATCAACATGTAATATAAGATTTATAGACCTGTATAATTCATAAACAATATAAAGCAGTACTCAAATTTTGTACAATATATGAGGAGAAGTGTTCTTTTTTTTTTTTGGGTGATAGTCTATTTTTGCAATAAATGATGTAGAACTTGCTTTGGCAATTTGATACTTGAACAAAAGTTCTGTTTATAAAATAGCATGCTTCAATAATTCTTATGAGCGCGTTTGTTTACTGAATGATGCAGACCTCGGCAAGCACAGTTGAGCAGAAGTTCAGCGCCTAAATCTTCACAGTAACAAAGTCGTATGAGAATCTACCACTCTTGATGTGGATATCAGAAGGCAGATGCGTTATTTTCATATTCACATCATGTATAGAGTTATTGCCCTGTCGTGATTTTGTCCAATAATTTTGATAACTTGGGTGTACGGATAACTATTCATGATAAGATTCTTGATTCTGTGTGCTTTGAAAATCTGCATGTTTAGATAAGGTGAGTTCGATTTTTCTCTCGTTGCCAACTTTTTTGAAAAGCATCGCCACAACTTGATCTCTATTCTGTCTTTTGAATCAGCATAAAAGTCAAAGTATAGCCATCAAGGTTAGCAGTCAAAATAAGGAACTAGATGGTTTAATTGTGCAGGATAAGATGCCACCGAGCACTTTGATCAACTGGAAGGAGTTGTTCCAGCTTAATCAAAGGTTACAGGTTCGGTCTTTTGGGAACACGATAATATAGGTGGTAAGGTCACTGCTCATATAGGTCATACTATGGTTTGATCTAGATTAGTCATGTTTGTAATTCCCTGAGGGGTTGGCCAGGATATTGGGTGCATATGCAAGGGAAAAAAAATGTGTTCGATAACATCTGGGTTTGTTCAAATATAGATTTTGAAAATTGATTGAGGTAAGGCTTATTCAACAGAGGTTGTTTATTGCAGAGTTTTGTAATTGCTGACTTTGACCAGCATGGCTTATTTCATGAGTCCTCTAGACACACCAACAATCAGATAGACACTAGAAACCTTATCAAAATCCAGCATGAGCTTTTTGGCTTTGGTTGACCAACTTGCCCATGCTACTTTCAGTGAACCTCCAAAATGGGTTTCTGAATATTATTTTTTCCAATTAATTTAGTTTCTTCTTTTGCTGGGCTGGCATGGATAATTATACAATATAAAATTTTATAGCAAGCTGTATTATTTGTATTTGAAAAGTGTTTATGAAGGTATTTTTGAAGTAGATGTTGGTGCTCCAAACTTGGATTCAACTCACTACTTTTACTGATATCTCCTTTTCCTATTTCTTTTGGTTTTTTTTCCCCAAGTTTTAACAAAGGAAAACATGTATAGTTTAATTCATTTTTTGACTGGTCTTAACAAAATACCCTTACGTGGTACATATGATGAAGTAGCCTCAGCTTAATGTCCGAAAAATTGTAGGAGTCTGAATGGCATCTTTATCAGTTTAATGGCTTAGGCTGGGTCAGTCATGGAATGGCATCTTTTTAATTCTTGACGGGAAATTTAATCTAATTTAACTTTACTGGCATGTTTTAATTAATAGTTGCAGAATTTGAAATAAAGATTATCTTCCAATTATCACTTTTTTAAGAAAATAAAATAAAATTTATAATTTAAAAAATTACAAATGAGGAGTTTAAATTTAAACCATTCAATTTACATTCGAACAAAATAAATCTCATCACAATGATGATTATACATCATGAGCACTAAATGGAGATTCATCAGTACTCAACTCGACAAAAGAATTAAATTGAATGAAAACAGTAATAAAGAGATAAAAATGAAAAGCTACTGTGTTGAAGGACCCAATTGATAATTTTGTAAACTTCTTAGAGGTAATTTATTTTTGAATAGTTAGAAAACTGAGATTGAAAATAGCAGCATGACGAAGAAGTTTTAAAGAAAGAAATGTTAACTGGGGCATATCTTTTATTGAATCACATAACAAAAGCAACCTTTTTGGTCGTTTGGAATTTAAATCACGTCCTTTTCAGCCTCTTGTTCTTCTCATCCACTGGGTTTGGAGGCGTGCCAATCCTTGAGGAAGTGGCAAAAATCAACCACGGTGAAGTGATCTGATATGGACATCTCTTCTTAATTATCTCTGATCCTCTCTTCCCCGGCGAATATCTGTGTTCCCATCATTTAATAAACGTCTCCCTCAACTGATAATTACTCTTTTGTGATTATATGGCATGCCTCGGTCTATGTAAGATACTCCAATCTTCATAACAAAGACAGCCTTCTTTTCTATCATATTTTTTTAGTACAAAGAGGCAAACTTGTGAGTAAGCCTGGATTTGTCCATTACTGGGGAATTTAATCATCTTTTTACAGGGAAGCGTTGAAGTTGTGCTGATCATCTTGCTAGAAAGGCTCATAAGTGGGGCGACTTGGAACCATATAGGTCATTGAACAACTTCTTTATCTTTGATTCAAAAGCCTTCACTGATTTATTAAGACAATGTTTTTGGATGAAGAAGCATCAAGTTCCTTACTATCAGTGAGGGACCCATTTCATGTAGTGGGACCCTGGGGTCAATTTTTGAGAATTTGATCGTCTTGTTGTGGCGAGACTGGCGTTTCAATTGGGAAAGAGGACCACGAGGGCATATGCTTCTGCCTGATGCCATGTAATCAAAATCATGGGACCCCAAAATTCAATCCAAGGCAGATTTGCCTTTTCCAACATGAAAGATGAACCATGTTTGTCGAGTTGGGTGCATAGTGGCACACATAGTTCCCTCCACTCATAATTTGGTTTCCACGGTGCTGTTTTCTTTCCTCAGTAGTTAGTAATTGAAGAAAAATAAGTTATTAAATACTACTTTCGATCCTTAATATAAAACTCCATTTGTCTTTTATGTTGGTCCTAAATATAAGACCTCAATCCATTTTGTCTCTCATATTTACTCAATTTTTTCCAAGATAGTTCTTCTAATAATTATAGTTTTAGCCAACATACTTGATTAGTAAGAATATTTTAGGAAAACAACACCTATTTATTACAAATAACTAACTTAACTTCTTTTTTTAATTTTTCAAATTAGTCAACTGGTTCTTATAATTAAGATCGGAGATAGTAATTTGTAATATAAAAAATTAGAACTTCTAAATTTTTGGAGCCCAATTTCATTCCTTTCTGGGTTTCTCTTCAATTAGATTTGCATCTGCATGCATATAACAAAATAAAAAGAGCAAGTTTAACTCATATAGAGCAGGCCCAATCAACGAAGGTTTCTTTAAGATATTAGTAGAAAACAAAAAATCGGACTGAACCAGTCGGTTCAATATGAAAACCGATGAACCGGCTATTGGTCCGATTTGGTTTAGATTTTAAACCAAGGGGGAGTTGAACCGGTAGTGAGTCAAACAGGAGTGTACCGGTAATGAATTTGGATGATTATGTTGTTATTGGTCCTATTTTTTCTCATTTAGCTCTTAATATCTTAGTCCCTAAAGATTTAAATAAATTTTAATAATAATTTTGGTATCAATAATTATTAATTTTAGTTAATCATGAACCATAAAGATCAAAATTCTCAATGTTGTTATACTTTATTATTGTTACAATCAAATCATTGTAATATTTCCTTATACTTTGTTATTAATAATTATCAATGTTGTTATATTTTGTTTTTTTCAATTAAATTATACTCCTCCGATCTTTAATATAAGACTCATTTAACTAATTTGATTAAATTAAAAAGTTAGACAAGTTAGTTAATTATAAGAAATATGACATGTTTTTCCTAAAATACCATAATTATCTTCTTAATACCCTCCCTCCCTCATTTTCTACTTGATTATAGTTGAGAAAGTATCCATATGAGTAATTTAGAAAAAAATGATAAATATGAGAAATAGGTCTATATTTAAGATCAAAATCAATTCAACCACTAAGTCCTATATTAAGGATTGGAGGAGTATTATTTTAATATAATCGGTTGGATCCTGAGTTGATCCCGGTCCGACCAACTAACTTTTGAACTATTATCTCAACCTGTTTAGTGTTCGGTCCGGTTTTTTGTTTCTTAGATGTTAGTATTATTTTGTGACAAGGAATATTGTAAAATCAGAATAAAACTTAGAAATGTCCCATCCTCTTCTTCTGACATCATGGTGACAACAATGTGGGCATATCATAATCTCGCATCCAATTTATTAATAAAAAAAGAAACTTGCATCCAAGTTGAGAATGCAAGGCATAACTATGTTTCGGTTTGTGTAAAATAATAACTTAGTTGAAAGATGATAAATATAAGAATAGAAATGAGATTGAGCAGCAGTAGCTTATGAACAGAACAAAAAATGCTAGATATGTGTTCGGTGGATATCTATCCATCCTGCTATAAATAGAAAAAAGCACTACACAATAACATGCTGACAAAAGTGAGGAGACATGCTCAAAAAGAAATCATCTTGAATTTGTAATTTTCACTTTTTTCAATTATATGGTAACTGATAAACTAATAGTCGTCTTTGATTGGTTTCAACGTGGCAACAAGTAAATGGTAATAGCCCTGCATGCTGAACAAGTGGTGCCCAACGTGCCCTGCTCCGAAGTCTTCGTTGTCTCAAAACTCTGGACTTCAAATTTCCAGGACCTGCATATAAAAATAGAGAAACAAGGCTCTTCATCACAAACCCTTTAATCAATCGTTGTCAAATTGATTCATTGTTTGAAAGAACGAAGAACAAATACAGAGATGCAATCTACAAAGGAGAAGCTGAGCAACATGGCCAGTGCTGCCAAAGAGCACATCGACATCTACAAAGCCAAAATAGACGAAAAGGTCTGATTTTGGGCTTCCCCATATATTTCTATGCCGTTCAATCTTCCAGAAACATTGAACCTGTCTCGCATATATTATCAAGCTAATAAAGATAATAAAAAACGATTATAGTTTTCAAAGGATGTTTCAGCAGCATGATTGTTTAATCGTAGAATTGAATTAATCAAATGAGTTGAATGGTGCAGGCAGAGAAAGCAACGGCAAGAACAGAGGAAGAGAAGGTAATAGCACATGAACGAGCCAAGGCTAAGGAAGCTCAAGCAAAGATGGAGCTACATGAAGCCAAAGGCAGGCATGCCTCTGAGAAGCTAAGCGCCAAGCAACCACATCATTTGGTGGGCCATCACGACCCATCCTTGGTTGGAGCTCACCAACATGGGATGAACCAACCAGGCTATGGGGCAGCTCCAGCAGTGCCTGAAAACTCTCACCCATATGCAGGAAACTATCACGTGAACAAGCATATTTAGATGTCACGTTTCGCTGAAGTTCCTTCTAGGGGGGTCCTTTTTTAATATAGTCCCTTCTGATGTATCTGAGGATGGCTTGTATCCAGTGGTTTCATTAGATTTAAGTTTCGTGATGCTGCTAGTTTTTTTTCTTTTGGGAGCAACCGATGTCATAGTTGTACATTCATGTGGTTCTATTCTATCACAAAGGTTTGTTATTGGTCAAAAAGAAAACCAGAAGGTTCATTTTTCTAAATAATGAATTTCATTAAATGGAAGAGCAAGAAGCACATTTAAAGAAATTGCTATAAGAAACAATTAACGGATAGTCTCGCGCATGCAAGAGATTAGTTACAGAAAAATGCAGAGACTCGCCGGGAACTTGCCTTCAAAGTGTCTACTAGACAAGGTGGCAGCTTCAAAATGCTCTATCTGCAAGTTGGTCGCCAAGTTTACCTCTTTGGGCTTACTTCACAAAGCTCAAAAGTACGGGATTTTGCAGTTTTATATGCGGAATAAGAATTCTGGCTTCCTCATCCTCAACGTGTTTTAACTGCAGGTTCCCACCACATGAACATTAAACAGAAACTCAACGAGTCAAATGTCGGTCTTGTAAGATGTTTATTAGTTATACCCACTGTAATCTGCCATGGTGTTCCCCACACTGCTATAAAGTTTACCATTGGAGAGGACCTCCCTCGTCACTTTGACCAGCCTGCGATTACACTACACTTGGCCACAGTTTCATGAGGATCCACTGACAGTGTTAATGGTTCAGGATGAACCTCAGAACAGAATTCATCTGCTCCATCTCCATCTCCATCCATCCTAAGACGCTTTGCATATAAGCTCAGACAGACCCTGGAGTTGAGAAACACAAGAACCCAGAAACATGAACCGCCAGGAATGACTATGCATGCATGAAACTTCAAAGTTAACGAAGGAGAGAGAAGAATTTCAAAACATATAGAGATATCTGGATGTTATTAAATTACGAAAGGCTATAGATAACATGAACAACTATATCTACAAATAAAACCTGCTCTCTATACAGAAAGCACCGACTAACTTTAGTTTCTCCGCTTCCCCCATCATAATTTGCCCGGGTTTATGGCAAGCAAGCACGTCGAGATGTTAGTATGCTTAGACCATCCGTGAATGCAACAAATTTTTCTCCAATAACAACAAAATCCTAAACACCATGACGAAAATTCATCACAGAACAGTGGAAACTGAAAGGAGAAACAAAATAATAAAATAAGAAACAGTTTAAAACAAATTATTACTTACGTATTCCTTATGCATCTAAGTTCGTAGAAACCAGACCCCCCAGCCCACTCCTCAAGAAGGACAAATAATATCGCCACTGGTTGAAGGATAGTGCCAAGTTACTAAACTTTAGGATTTGAAAATTATTTTACTTTCTACCACAACAGGACAAGGGGATTGCTTTGTTAGATTCCCGATTTGGATTCAACAGTGACGCAGAAATGAAGCCAATACAAATATACAATGAGGAACCCGATAAATTCTGGAAAATAAGGGCTTGAGGACGCGATGGCAGCATAGGCACGACATAGTACTCCATAAAACAAAAACACAAACACACAAATGCAGTAATGAAAATAAAGAGAGATAATTGGAATGAAAACGAAGAAAAATGAAGAACCTGAACTCCTCCACACCTGACGTACAATGAGCAAGAGAGGAGCTATCTGATTCTGCCGGCGATCAACGATAATATAAACTGGGAAGCTAAAGCATTTGCGGCGAAATCCAGTTTCTTTCGTAAGCAAGAGTGCACGAGCATGATGAGCTTGAGCTTGAGTTTGATCATCGACGTCGTCCTTGGATTCGTGGAGACCGTCCTTTCACAAACCCCAGGAACCCAACTTACTTTCTGGGCAACCCAATCCCCAAACGGAGCGGGAAATTAAGAACGCAAAATGTTACCAAATTGAAGAGAGATCTTAGGAAAGAACACAGTGAGCACCGAGCAGAACAGGGGGCAGAAGCAGTACGGAGGAATGAGGATGGTGGTTCATGCACTCATCTTATGCATTTCGAGCCTCCGGAACGAAAGGAACAATGTTCTTAAAGTTAACGGCAATCTTTCTAGAGGAGCGTAAAGTTGAATGGCAAGAAGCGATACTATGATTATTGTCTATTGATTACTTGAATAGCGCCAGAGGCAGATACTATAACTCTGTGACGTGGCAATTAGGTTTGCATGGCCAAGAATCAAGATAACCGCCGTCATGTTCTACGTTTCCAATTAGAAATTTAGGACACATGTAAGTTGTAATTAGGGAGAATTACAATGAGGTTCCAAATAAGGAAAACAATTAAAAAACAAGTCCCAGATGTTGTCATTCTCACTATAGGACTTGTTATTATAGGCTGTTGAGGTTGTTATTGAGACTTTTTAGTAATTATTTCTCTTATGTGAGATTTGGTTGTAATTCTCCCTTCTAATTATGTCACAAAAAGTAAGCAAAGGTCATTAATTTATTAAATTATTTCAAAAAATTAAAATGATTCCTAAGTTTATTTTTATTTACAAGAATAAATAAAAAATTCTAGGGAATTGATTTTGAAAAAGGTTAGCTAATACTTCATTTTTTATTAAAAAAAAAAGACTAATGTGTAATATCGTTAATTTGTTTTAAAACATGACTACTATATAAGAGTATAAGACTTAAGTATTCTGGTAAAAGTGCTATATCTAGTATGGGTTGACAAATTATTGTATTTAACCACTAAATTGGCGAGTTAGTTATTAAGAATGCCCCAAAATTTTTCAACTTACTTTTGAAAGTAAAATGACCCTTAGCAAATTAAAAATTCCTGAAATGACCAAAATATTATCTATAAAAAATACAACTATTTAGTAGTTACAAATTAAAAACTTAGCACTGAGACAGAAAATTAAGTTGTCAAACCTCATAAAATGTTCTTGTCAAAAACTTTTTTTATAAATACGTCAAATTGATTCAATTGGGAAAAAAAAAAATTGGTAGTCACACATTAGTACTCAGACCAAAGAAAATCTAGTTACCAAGCATCAACAAATTTTCTTGTTGTGTTGATACTTTTGAATTTTTTTGCAAGCTCATCATATTAGCTTTGTATTAAAAAAATTTGAGAAAATTAATGATTTGGTCTCTGTAATTCTTATTCAGTTGTAGACTTGTAGTTGGCCTAAAAAGTAATTCAGTTGTAACTCAACACTAACATTTTAACTCAAATCGTATGATTTTGATTCAATCCAACTCAGTTTTTATAATTTTAACCATCTAAAACACCAATCCCTTAGTTTCAAAAAAACAACTTTAATTCCTATAACTTTATTTTCTAGGGGATCTAACGTTTTAAATGCGTTGAGTCAAATTTCCGAGTCAAAATTATAAAATTATTTAATTTATGAATTTGGTCTTTCCCCCGTGATGACATTTTGGGATGAGAAAACTGCGCTCCCAGTGTTCTGACTTTGTGGAATGGCCAGTAATGAGGTTTCAGTAATCTAAAATGTACAATACAGAGCGCATTACTAAATAATCATTAGCATTACAACAGGAGAGGGTACATCAGAACAAAATATTGAAGCTTTCAAGAAAGAAAGGGAGGGGGGGAGGGAAGAATCAATTTAATATTCCAGTAAAACGCTGGCCTCACAAATATCAAACTAAAATTCCACACAAGCATTCACATCAACAATAACACACTATAATGAGTAACCCCTCATCCTCTGGTTAACAAGAAAACAGTGCAGCATTGAACGCCAAATTTGGGATTGCTTCAGTCTCTAGCCATAGTCCTCCATCCATGACGTCTGAAACCACCAATCTACATTTCTTCAGCATCTAATCTCGTATGATCCCGCTTTTGTAATATAACGAACCCACTCAACGGTGTTGTACCCACTTTTCTCCCACACCTGCAGAGAGAAAAATTTAATTAAACCGCAACTTAAAAAGAGAATGCATCTAAAAACGAGAGTGGGGGAAAAGTCAGGATGGACACCTTTAGAAATCGAACACGTAAACCAGATGCTGTGAACATGGGAACCTGCGCGCACAAAACAAGGTTAAACTATCATGTTTTGGAGACGGTACAAGTTTAACAAGTGTGGAGAATTGTTTAAAAATGTCACCAGGACTACAAGATGTTATATTCCCCACTCCCAGCCTCTGCCCGAAGCAGAGAGACAATATGACATATGAGCCAAGATTATATAGCCCATAACATGGAAGATTCCCAAGAATTAATGTTCTGCTCCAATTCTTAGATGTGATTGTTGAGTGAGGACTGAGGAGTTGTACAATGCAGTATAGAATAACCCGTCCCAAGTACTGTAAAGATTACAAGCAATTGCCACCCATCTTTGGGGAATTAGTAGAATAACAGATGACAAACCTGAAATTCCATCTGAATTGGTGGTCTTGTCCAAGATTTCTTTTCCGCCATTGTGGAAATAAGTTCAACTTCTGCACTCAAGGTTGGCTCGGTCTGCCCAGGGAATTTTCTAATCCTATAAATCAAACGGAGTTATCAGAACATAATTGACTGGAACCATAAAAGCATACAAATCAAGATTGTAGAAACTTTAAAATATGCAACAACAAAGCGGGGTGACACAAACTTTTCCCCTAGCATTCCTAATAAATAACACTCACTTCCAAACTAAACAATCAATAGCAGCATTGTATTTTGCCCGGCCAGATGTTACTGTGAAACTTGTTTTTGCTGTTTGTTTTGGCACAGGAATTTTCACAACCACCCCAAGTGCGAACATTTTTGCACCAAAGACACTCTTCACCTGAAAAAGATTTTTAAAAAAGAAAATTCAGCGAGTGACACGATTGCAAACCTCCAAAATATTGGACCTTCATCATGTAAAATTCCAAACCTTAACATTTACTTCCATCCGTGTTCGTCCAAGCTCCTTGATGGTAGGTAACACTTTAAAGGGGAGATTAACACCCTCAGTTATACGATACCTACCCAAGACAATCATGTTAGTAGATATCGCTAGTGAAGTTCTAGTATTATGCAACAAGAAATGCTATACATCTTATGGAAGCTACAAAAATATCTTAGAGGAGCAGACGTTGCTATTTTCTAGCAATGTCAAATTTCTAAGTGACAAGCAATGAGAAAATCACCTCATTTGAACTACCAAAAAAATAAAGAACAACAAGATAAGATTTGAAAAAAGTAGTCAAGAATCGATCTAATCCACAAAAAATTCAAGGAGGGAGAAAGTAATTTAACAACTAAGTAAACATAGCCTATCAGTTTGAATAAACGAGATGGGAGATCCCAGGAAACTGACTACCATGAAGGGGCAGAGCAAGGGAGTCACAAACCACTGAAACCCTCTCTTTCAATTCTACTACCACATCAAGTTATGTGTTTGAAGTAGATTAAACAAAAACAGTTGAGATGATATGGCATTAAAAGCAAAAATCTTACTTCATTAGCTCAAATTCACCATCAGGGGGCACAAAGCTAACAGTCTTCTCTGAGTTGAACCTCGTCAAATTTACACATTGATGGAAAGTGACATCATCAAGCTCAATCGTTTTACCGCTGCAAAATATATTTAGTTGATGAGAAAAGGGACCATTTAAAAAAATGAGAAAAAGTAACACATCAACTCTCTGGAACATTTTTTTAATGATATTTCTAATAGATGAAAACAGAGAAGACTGAGAACAATAATATCAAAAAAGAAAACTATCACTAGAAGCAAGAAAAGTAATCAAGGGAAATAGTGCATATGAAAACCTTTTGGTAGGACGAGATTTAAGTTGTGACTCTTTTTCAAGACCAATTTTGTCATTCAAGCCCAACTTCAAATCAGGCATTCCAGAAAGGAAGCATTTCATGAGAATCTTCCCTGTCACATCACACCGCAAAACACTACCTGAAATCATAAAACAGTTAGTATGAAACACAATAGACATCAACATGGAGGCAATTAGAATGAATAACCAACCTTTTGAAGACATGAGAAGATTTACACTTTCCACAATATCCAGGAAAACCTGCAATAAGTCGACGTTAGAGTTACAGTGCCAATATTCAATGATCAATAAGTGCGATGCTAGGTAACATAAAATTCACCTCATTCTTTTTGTAAACAAGACCTTCTCTCCGCCATCCAACAGCTCCAGTTACTTGTAAAGTTGCATTTGGAACAGGTCTATCTGTGGGCTGTTTCCCCCATTGCACACAGCATCAAATGAAGTGAAGGATTTAACAGGATACTCAATCAAGAAAACATGTAAGAATTAAATTTGGACGAGAGAATGGATATATGCCGGTAAGTTGGCTGTATAGACAGCAGTTACAAGTTTATGTTAGCCTTTTCTAAGTGGTTCAACAGCCTACGGTTAAGAAGTGGAAAGTGGTGAAAATATAAATATGCAAAACAAAATGTCATCCAAGAATTACGTGATAGTCCAATTACATGCATTCATTCAATCATCTATGATGTACTCTAGGTTTCCCTTTTAACATTGTCATTTTTCAATGACCATTGTGCGTCCTACACATCCCATTTCATGTTTTCTTGCTTCATGGTAGTCACAATAGCATGGGTGGACTAACCTTGGATGAGAAAGGAGACCGCACTCCTTCCTGAGTAATGTAAAGCTTCAAGATCTCTGGTGAAAGATTTTGTGGGTAACCAAAGTCCATGATTTCTGCAAATACGCATCATGTTAATCATCTGTGATTTTCCCATTTATATGACTAATGTTTCTCCTTTTAGCAAGAGGAGACAAGGTCTTTCATTGTTATACATGGTCGGACTAGGCAAAAACATATTTTTCCCAGCTACCTATCTGCATAAATATAGAAAAGGTGCACGACAAAACACCCCATACTTATAGGGCAATAAAATTATGTATAAAGCATTAGCTAGCACCAATGACCATAGCGGTTCACAACTCACAAAGCCTTAACTTGTTACCCATTTTGATCAAGGAAAAATGATCAGATTCTGAAGATTCAAAAAAAAAAAAAAATCAGCTTTGTATGGTTGTTATTACCAATAGAATGAATTTATAGATCAGCAAGAGGCATTATGAAAGCAAGAAGTAACCAGTATCTCTCCCAAAGTTTGCCTGAATTTTCTTGTCATCATTAACATATGTTACTTCAAAAGAAAATTGATTTCTTATATTCTACACAAAACGAGCAAATATATAGATTAGTTGTTGTTGAGTGGGTTATGAGTTATCTGTAAGCTTTATTTTGTGTTTCCATCAATTATAAATAGAAATAATATGGCTATTTTGTAAGGTGCATAATCATGCTCTTGCATCTCCCTCTTGAGTTTATATACATGATATATTCCTCGCTTGTTGAAGCTTACAGATATATGAACTTAGTTGATAAGGTCAGTTCTGCAGTTATGTGAAGCAAATATTAAAAGCCAAAGAAAAACAATTTCAACAATTACATACAGTACACTAAACTGATAGCGTACAATTACTGTTTATCCTTGAGTTGCACTAGTTTCCTGTCCTTTAACCTTTTTCTAACAGCCTAGCAGGGTGATTGGTCTAGTTATATAAAAAAAAAGAACGTGTAAGGCCTTTAATTCTAAAGGAAATATAGTTTTTAGCCCTTGATAGATACATGCCTCAATAGTCTCTGAATCTTAAAAATATAGCATTCTGTCATTGAAAGACATGTCTCGGTCATTTGCTTCTTGAATCTTGAAAATATATAATCCAGTCCATTAAGGTCTTCTCAGACACTAATCACTAGCTCCAATCAATAAATGCTCAAGGATTAATGTCATTTCTAAGATTTAGGAATCAAGTAATTGAAGCATAAATCTTTCAGAGACCAAAAATACATTTTCTCTTAATTCAATTGCCATATGAATAACATACCGTCCAGAAGCTCATAAATGAGAACAAAATTATTGCGTATTGCATCTTCATCAAAAGCTCCACCAAAATATGATTTAAATAGTGCAACGGCCTGGAAAGAAAGAAGTACAAGTGTCATGGACCGCAAAGATCAAACTTTTGTATCAGTGCAGATGGTGAAAAACACATGAGGAGAACAGCAATAGTTAAAAACAAGCTGCACAAAATTAAGAGATGGAAGACAACTGTATCACAACATCAAGAGCAGAAAATCATAATTTCATTGGCACAAGAAAATCATAAATTCTACATAACACAGTTATGTTCTTAGCCTTAACAGTTTGTCAGACTCGAGGTTATAAACCAATAATAAAGAACTATAGCATGACAGTGAAACATAAAATGGGGAATGAGAATCAAGATTGACCTATCATTGTTGAATGAACCTGCCCAAACTGATTTCATTAACATCCATTTGAGGCAAAGACACATTAACAAGTTCAAATCATTCATGCCAACACAAATTCAAAGAACATATAACTACATTGCTAAGTCTGAGAGATCCAAATATAGCATTCATTTTCCAAGTGGTAAATGTTTTATTCCCCTTGTGACGTCCAATAGCATCACAATTAAACAGCATTGACATGACTAGCCCATTGCACACCATTGTTGGCTGGCAACGTACAAAATTATTAGATTAGGTTTTGAGATACTCAGACAAGATTACCACTGATTTGTTTGCATCTTATCTATAAGATAGCCTAAGCACCAGTTGTTCAAAAGCGTTGTAGTAAATGAAGCATAGACACATCCAAAAGGAGGCATCTTCGTGTATAACACATGTCAAACTAGCATGTAGTCAGCATCTTTCTTCCATTCAAATAATTGTTTTCCCTACTAAAGCAAAGCATAGAGAAATAAAGCTATCCAGATATAAAAGAGATAATTTCTCAATCAACCCAAAACTTCAAATGACCAGGATAGAATTGCCAAGAAAAGTATGAGCTTAAATCCACGGGATCGTGAATGCCAAATCCAATCAGAAACATTTTTTGCCGAAATAGAGTCCTACAAAAGAACTTAAGGATGTGCAGTCATTTAGATAACCAATAATTTCAGCTAAATGATAATAACAAATCAAATAGCAATGGTAGAAGTCAAAAATTGACGTGCAGATAATCTGTGTAAAGTGATCCAAACATCATCCAGATTTATCATGCAACAATAACAACAATAATTTGATGCACAAAAATAGTCATCAGCAAAGTGTGAAAAACAAGTAGATGTTAACTACCTCCACAACAAACTTAAAAGCGCAAGCTACATTAGCATTGCTGCTAACAACAATCACAATGTAGACATTGCTGATCCTCATGTAAAAGAAAGAGCAGCCACCTATCTGCCTCACAGGACAAGTACCAAGTTCTTTTGTCTGCATTATATGAGTCCGGAAAGCATCCACCATATTTCCCCTGTAAAATTATATATTAGTGGAGACAATATTGTCCATGATTGAGCTCCCATCACCCACAAAGAAGTAAAGGAAGCCCACACGAGAGCTCAGGTGATCTCTGGTACGACAGAAATTTAATTTTTCAAGTACTCGGAATTTCAGAAGATACTTGGGTATTAGAAATATGAAAAATAAAAGTCTATTTATTGCATGGACCTGGAATTTCTAGTGTGCAATTTAGTGCTCTGCGCTTCCCATCCACAAGGCACTGTGGTACCTTACGTACGCTGAGAATGAACTTCACAATACTTGAAAAGAAATGTGCTGCTCACTGTACATGCAAGGCACTACTGACTAGCGGTGCAGCAGGAGCAGACATTCCAGGTTTGCACGTCTCAAATAACAAAAGAATGTTAAAATTTTTATAAACATCACACTAAACTTCTGATGTATGGATCTTCAAGCCTCTAGGAGACAAAATGGCTAACAAAAGCCACTCAACTAACTCTGATACGACAAGGAGGAGCATAATACAGTATTCCAAGATCTTATGCAAGCTAAAACCAAATTCCAGGGCTTCAATAAAGTGCACCCTAAAGGTAATACGCGTAATCAGAAGTCCTAGCTGCATTCCCAGCCAAGTGGAAAGCGTTGGGACAAAAATTGTCTGCAGAAAGAGACCATACTCTACATTTATGTTTTTATTGTTTTCTGTTGACAATCTATCTACAGCCAGGACAGTGCTCTATCACTAATATATGAATAGGTCCATCCCATTTGATAATTTGTTCCCCAGCTTAAGATCAAGAATTAGCGACAACCGACAAAGAAGTAGGAAAAGCAGCAAGAGATTCAGTTACCCGACATCGTCGCGATAAAGACGATTGATAAGAACATCCCCTCGGAGGTTCAAGAAGTATATAGCGGAAGCTGCAACCGGCATCTCCGATCCAGCGTATTGACTTCCAGATTCGCCGGCAACGAGCTTCGGAAGATCAAGCAGAAATGATAAAAAAGCGTGACTTCACAGATAACCCAGTAGATCTGCGGTTCCGAAGTTGGGGCTTAGACCATGAACAGCAACAATTCTATGGTAGCAGCAACCAAATGCTGCATCAGACGAAGTCGTCGTCGATATGTAGCTACGTGGAAATGAGAATTGAGCAATGAAAATTATACAAATAAATTTGAAGGAAATTTGCAGAATCCAGGTTTCGGTAAAGTCCCGCGGGGTTCCAGTCAGCGGAATCAACCTTCGGCACCCTATTTGGACTTTCACGGCCCGTGCGGGGCCCTCGAAGGAGCGATGTTGTTGTTGTTTATTTTCGATTTTCGCTTGTCGAAAATTATCTGACTTGCATTTTCTCCCCCCCTTACCAGAACTTGCTAGTAGTTAACTAAATAAAATTATCTAATGTATACATATTTTTAAAAAAAAACAGATTAACTAATTCATATATTAATTTTTTTTAATTTTCTAATTTTTACGTTCAAATTTCAATTAATGCTAGTTAGTTTTTAACTTTCTTATAAAGTGATTAATATTGTAAAACTACAAGAAATAAAGAGACCGGAGAGTAGAAAAGAAAGCAAGAGATAGAGAAGAGAATGGCTTTTTCTCATTCACTTTGGTTCAAGGTGCAAATGCCTCGTACATGCCCTCTATTTATAGGCCTCCAAGCATTGAAATCCTATACTAAGGTTATAAAGGAATAAAGAGCATTATAATGGCATTAACAATGAGAAACTTCTCCCAAGTCATTCATTAGAGAAGTTATGTAGTTTATGACACTTGAAGGTAAGGAATCCTATGAGAATTCTAAGGATTAAGGGTTATGGACATCCACTCATGCAATATTCATAACACTCCTCCTTGGATGTCCATAATGAGTATTGTGCTTCATTAAAACCTTACTAGGAAAAACCTATTGGGACAAAAACCTAGTAAAGGAAAAAGAGTACACAATATTTACTCCCCCTAATGATAACATCATTTTAAGTCTTTAAGTTTGCGCATTCCAATACCATACACTAACTTCTCAAATGTTCTAGTCGGCAGTGTCTTGGTAAACAAATCAGCAAGGTTGTCACATGAGTGAACATCTATATCACCACTTTTTAAAAGATCATGAGTGAAAAAGAACTTTGGAGAAATATGTTTTGTTCTGTTTCCTTTGATATATCCTCCATTTCATTGAGCTATGCATGCTGTATTGTCTTCATATAATACTGTTGGAATCTTCTGTTCAAGGGAAAAACCACACATTTTTTTTTTCAATATATTGAGTCACTGACCTCAGCCAAACACATTCTCGACTTGCCTCATAAATTGCAATTATTTTCGCATGATTTTGAAAAGGTAGCTGATAAAGTTTGTTTTGTTGAACGCCATGAGATCATTATACCTCCACAAATAAATAAATATCCTATTTGAGACTTTCCTTTATGTGGATCTGATAGAAATCCTGCATCTGCATAGCCAATTAATTGTGATTCTAATTCATTAGAGTAAAATAATCCACTATCAATTGTCCCTTGAAGATATCGAAATATATGCTTAATTCCATTCCAATGCCTTCTTGTTGGGGAAGAGCCAATAAACTAACAACAAATGCAATATCAGGTCGTGTTGAATTGGCAAGATACATTAATTCACTTATGGCACTAAGATATGGTACTTCAGAACCAAGAAGTTTTTCTCATCTTCTTGAGGATGAAAAGGATCTTTATCCTTATCCAGCGATCTTACAACCATAGGAGTAGATAATGGATGTGCCTTATCCATATAAAATCGCTTTAATACTTTTTCAGTATAAGTTGATTGATGGAGGAAAATTCCATTTGCTAAGTGCTCAATTTGCAAGCCAAGGCAAAACTTTGTTTTTCAAGATCTTTCATTTCAAATTCTTTCTTTAAACAATCAACTTCTTTTTAAAGCTCTTCAGAAGTTCTAATTATATTTAAATCATCCACATAGACAGCAATTATAACAAACTCTGATCCATTTCTTTTTATAAAAACATATGGGCAAATTGGATCATTTTTATAACCTTCTTCAACAAATATTCACTAAGTCGGTTATACCACATCTTCCAGATTGTTTTAATTCATATAAGGATTTATGCAAACAAATTGCATAATTTTCTCGAGAATTCTTACATGCTTCCGGCAATTTAAATCCTTCAGGGATTTTCATATAAATCTCAGTATCTAAAGAACCATATAAATATGCCATAACAACATCCATTAAACACATTTCAAGTTTTCTATGGACTGCCAAACTAATTATATATCTTAAAGTGATTGCATCTACCATAGGAGAATATGTCTCTTCATAATTAATACCAGGTCTTTGTGAAAATCCTTGTGCTACAAGCTGTGCTTTATATCTAAAAATCTCATTTTTCTCATTTCATTTGTGCACGAAAACCCATCTGTATCCAACTGGTTTCACACCATTTGGTATATGGACTATAGGTCCAAAAATGTCATGTTTTGAAAGTGAATTTAACTCTGCTTGAATTGCATCTTTCCATTTTGGCCAATCATCTCTATGTCTACATTCTTCAACTGATGTAGGTTCAAGATTCTCATGTTGATTAATTATTTCAACAGCAACATTATATGAAAAAATATTGTCAACAACTGTGTTCTCTCGGTTCCATCTTTTTCTTGTAGTAACATAACTTATCAAGATCTCTTCATTATTTTCAGGTACCTGAGTCTCTTCTGAGGTCTTTTGATTAGTTATGTTTCGGTCCTCTCCTATAGGACTTGCCTCCTCAATTTGACTATCATGACCATCATGATTATTTGCTCCTTTTTTCTTTCTAGGAGTTTTATCTTTGGAACTGATTGGTCTACCCCGCTTCAAGTGTGGTTTGGTTTCATTTGCGCTTTCTAGTTGTCCTGTTGGGACATCAATTCTAATTGGAGCATTTTCAGCTGGAATGTGAGATTTAGTAATTCTCTTAGGATCAGTAAATGCATTTGGCAGTTGATTTGCAATGTTTTGCAAATGAATTATTCTTTGAACTTCAAGTTCACATTGTTGTTTACGAGGATCTAGATGAGATAATAATAATACTTTCCATATGATTTCTTTATCCAGCTGCTTATTATCTCCCCCTAATATTGGAAAAATTGTCTCATCAAAATGACAATCGTCAAAACGTGCTGTAAACAAATCTCCTGTTAATGGTTCTAAATACTTAATTATAGAAGGAGATTCATAGCCAACATATACCCCTAACCTGCTTTGAGGTCCCATCTTTGTACGCTGTGGTGGAGCAATAGGGATAAATATCGAACATCCAAAAATTCTAAGATGGGAAATATTTGGCTCTCGACCAAAAGTCAATTGTAACAGGGAGAATTCATGATAACTTGTTGGCCTGATGCGTATAATTACTGCTGCATGTAGAATTGCATGTCCCCAGGCTGAAATAGGAAGTTTTGTTCTCAAGAGCATTGGTCTAGCAATCAATTGGAGGCGTTTAATGAATGACTCTACTAGGCCATTTTGAGTGTGGACATAAGCAACAGATTTTTCTACTGTTATTCCAGTTGCCATGCAATAATTATTAAAAACTTGAGATGAAAACTCACTAGTTATCAAGACGAATTGTCTTAATTATATGGTCTGGAAACTGTGCTCTTAATCGAATTATTTGAGCAAGTAATCTAGCAAATGCTAAATTACGTGTTGATAACAAACACACATAGGACCATCTTGTAGATGCATCTATTAAAACCATAAAATATTTGAATTGTCCACATAGTGGATGAATAGGTCCACATATATCTCCTTGGATACGCTCTAGAAATGTAGGAGATTCAACTCCTACTTTTGTCAATGAAGGCCTTATAATTAATTTCCTTCAGAACAAGCAGCACATGAAAATTCTTTAAATTGAAGAATCTTCTAGCTCTTCAATGGGTGTTCATGTGAATTTTCAATAATTCTTCGCATCATAGTTGATCCGGGATGGCCTAACCGATCATGCCAAACAATAAATGTATCTTTATCAGTAAACCTCTGGTATACTATAGCATTTGTTTCAATTGTACTAATATTTGTATAGTACAAACCAGAAGATAATGTCAATAATTTTTATATGACATATTTTTCTCCATTTCTTACCATTGTAATATGCAGATATTTAATGTTCTTCTCATTTATAGTCTTAACATGATATCTATTTTGGCGGATATCTTTAAAACTTAATAAATTTCTTTGAGACTTAGAGAAATATAAAGCATCATTAATAACAAATTTTGTTCCTCTGGGTAATATTATAATTGCTCTTTCAGAGCCTTCAATTAGTTTTGTATTACCCGCTATAGTATTGATGCTTGCACTATTTATCGTAAGATGAGAAAAATATATGGTGTGTGTTATAGCACTATCTATTAGGCATATATTTTCATTCTTGTGTCCAACAAAAGGAAGAGAAATATCCATATTCTTCACCAAAAGGAAAAAAAAACATTCATTAACATAAATTCGAAGTACATCATGATTAATAATACTCTTAAAAGAAGAGAAATAAATAAACATAAACTAAATTAAAAAGCATAAATAAAGCTAACTAAAATTATCCAAATTCTTCTAATCATGATTCTCAAAGAAATCAGCTACATCCAAATGTGCCATAGCATCAAGGCCATTAACATCATCTAGCTCATTGATACCATCATTTTTGCATGCAAAATTTGCCTCCACATCATTGCTTCCACATTATTTGAACTTCTTTTTATAAAGGCTTGATAAAGTTTTGCTAGATGCTCAGGCGTACAACAGGTACGTGACCAATGTCCTTTCATGCCACACCGGTAACATTGATTTTCAACAACTCTTGAAGGGCCATTCTTATCTTTTTTCTGCCCATCACCAAGTTTCTTCTTTTGGTGGGTATTTGGGTTATAATTGTTACTTCCACCACCAGAATAATGGTAATTTATGCGTCCCCTACCATGACCACGGCCTCAGCCACGACCACGACCACGTCCACGCATATGATAATTATTGCGTATAGTCACATTCGCTTCAGGGGAATGGAGCTGATCCAGTAGGACGGATTTCATGATTTTTCATTAATAGCTCGTTATTTTGTTCAGCCACAAGAAGACATGAGATCAATTCAGAATGTTTCTTAAAACCCTTTTCACGATCTTGTTGCTACAGGAGCACATTTGAAGCATAAAAAGTTAAAAATGTTTTTTCTAATAAGTCAT